AAAAAAAACATTGCTTTCAAGATCGCACAAGGGTTCAGGGACTGTGTTGATGGACAAGAAAGATTATGTGGCGAAATTTGAAGAAATATTATCGAATCGCATAAGATTTTCAAAATCCGATAAAGGCAAGGACCGGACCGAGGCCGTTGAGACAAAATGACAAAGTAACTTAAAGAGCTCCACAAAGAAGGACTTTCATCAGACAAGGAGCTGGTGGGATTAAGGCCGGTTGGTACTACAATACCAAGAATGTATGGCCTCCCGAAAATTCATAAACAAGGTATGCCACTCCATCTTATCTTGGACATGAGAAATTCACCGTACCAAGCCGTGGCAAAATCGTTTGTCGAAAAGTTAAAGAAACTTCAGAGCAGTTTGTGCCCAAGACGCCTGAAAGACATGTTTGAGTTCGTCAAGGCTATCAAGGATACTAACATTGGCGAACCGATGATGCTGTCATTAGGTGTATACTCACTGTTCACAAATGTGCCAATACGACTTTTCAATCGTAAAAAGAGATTTTTCGTAGAAATATACAAGTTACTGAATTATTTAAGTAGACACTTTTAACACATTATTTGAAAAGGTCTTCGTTCTGCGTAAGCTAGAGCGGGCTGGTGTACACCGATGTTGAAAACCAGTTCCACTTGTTTAATGAATTACTTTTTATCCTTTTTGCACTTAAAATGTTTTCCTGATGGCTTTTTAGAATAAGATTATTTCAGTTTACCTCTGTTGGTTCACTGTCCTTTTAAATGCATGCAAATGCACTGGTCTGATAATGAATTGCCAAAATGAGTGGTGACCAACATATCCGATTCAACAGGTTCTGAAAACAAAGTTCATTTGTTTATATAACAACTCGGTTCATTAATAAAAGTACTGAGGAAATTTACTGTTTTCCCTTCCTGTCTGACGTGTCATATGTATACTCACATCCCTCATTTTATTAATCTTATTTATTTTTGAGAAAGCAATTTCAACTTATAAGTATGCTTAATGAATAACCTAAACCTACTTTCGAACGTCCTTATTGTGAAAAGTTTAGAAAGTTTTACTATGAAAACTCAAGAATGTGTTCTGTATTACTATGCGGGAGAACAACAACAAATCCTGCGCTCATCAGAAACGAATCTCAATTGCCAATCAGAATTAGGTGCCAATCACCAATCAGCTTTCAGCCATAAGTCTTACAACACATCCGGAAACATATGATCTTCTTCCCGATATGTACGCTGTAACAGCAATGCACGGGACTATTTTTCACTAAACCAACTTAAATGATTCAGTGGACTCACGATCAACAGGAGTGCGGGTCTCGCTAATGATCGTGTCAGCCATGACCCGAATGAACAATGATATCTACCCGTTACTCACTAATATCAACAAGATAGATAGTTTTTCGCAAATAAGTTCAGCACAGGGTGAATCTACTCGCTATCCAATTCACTCCGACTCTGTGGACTTCGAACTGGGAAAAAGGTATATACTACTTTGTTTGGTCGCATTTGTATTTTATGCAACCTTATGCACAAATTGCACCGAAATGTATCATATTAATTATATTTTCAACTACGATTTAGATGAGTTGATAAGTATTAGTACTTTTTAAAAGGATATTATTGTATGAAGCACATGTTTGAAATAAATGAACAAAACTTTCCTCTCGTAATTGAATTATACGCATAATATTTTAACTTGTTAAGGTTTGAAGAGGTCAGTAACGTTTAAAACTAAAAGTTTAATGTCAAGAAGAATTTTGTCTATTAGTCTGATTTTTAAGTAATGACACTAAAATAAATCGAGTCTTCATTAATACGCTCATTGGACGCTGTCAGCCCAAATAAATAAAAACCAAGGACTTTAATTGGTCCATCATTAGGCACAGCGCATTAGTAATTTATACAACGAAGTATAAAAAATTAAAATTGGTTGACAACTTGCATCTAATCTCATGTGCAAATTAAACGTATGCCATTAAAAAAAGAATTGTAATGAACAAATAATTGGCAAGCGTGCGAGAACTCATGCATACGCTTGATATTCTGCCTTATGGAATGGTTATTTAAATTCTAAAGTATTTTCCTTTACAAACAACTTACTACTGTAGATATATCGCACAGCACAATGGCAAAATACTTCAGTCACGCTAGGGCGTTCACACTTAAATACATTCTGAAAAAGACTAGTTCAATGGTATGCATATCGTTTATTTATTTTCCATGTACTTAAATATTCTTATAAATGAATACCTAAAAATGTGCTCCCGTATATTTCGTTAGTATTAAACTGCTCTCTTTAGTTTTATAATTGGATAAATTGAATCTTTTCGTGTAAATATGTTTTGTAAGTTGCCGAAAATTTCGGATATGACGTGTTATTAATGAATGTGCCAGGCTCTTGAAACATGCTAAGAATTTTTTATATCGAATCGCTATTTTCTTTACGTATAAAATTCGAAGAAGGGGTAACTGTCTACCAAACGGATATAGGAAAGAATATTTTTGTGCGTGATTTCTGCAGGATATATTTGAATTTATAGGGGCATTAAAAATCAGTGAAAAATGCATACTATTTAACTGATAATTTTTAAAGTCCGAGAATTTCGCCGATAATCAATACTAGTCTTATTTAAAAGCCGGCATCTTGACGCGACTGAAATATTCTGAGATAAGGCTACGTGAAAACCAATACGGCATCCCCACTAAAGTAATTTATTCCAAACGAAAAATGCATTTCACAAATTTTATTGACACTTCTTGAGACACAAAATCTACGGCCTCCTTCATGACGTATATATGATGTAAAAAAATTTTGGCAATGCTTATTTACTATTTAAGTGCGTATTTATGTGATGCCTTTATATAAAGAGCGAGTCACAGAAAGTAAAGGAAAAGTACAGCCCTATTTATTATTTAAAGCTAATGGGTATATATAACAGACTAGAACATGCTAGTACAATCTGCCATAATGAGCGCGTTTCTCAGTAGATTTGCATAAATTGTAAAGTGGAATGTTAGACGCAGTCAGTCTTTCTTTTTTCGCTTTTATTAATTTTCATGAAATAGTTCCGCGTTCAAGTTGTATAGCTCTACATCCAAATGAGTTGAAAACGGTCTAATGATATGACTATTCTGAAGACGATGTCGGACTACTTATGAGAGTTAGCTTTTTAAAAATTACCTATAACGTTTCATTGTATTCCATAGCAAGTCTTGCCTGATCAAAATCAAAACAAGGAACCTTTAGTTATCCAATCTTCGATAGTTGCTAGTCGAAAATTTGAAAGAAACATGGTGCTTATTTATATCAACCCTTTTAGACCCCTCCATGGATACCAGTTAAGCATGAATGACCTTCGCGATGCAACGTCTGCCTCCAAGAAGACGGCGGGCTGTCTATTCACAAATTTCGAGGATGTCCGTGTAAGTCACCCTGTTCCATTTTGTATGAATTTATTAAGTCGGTAAATGGGGCTCGCTCAAAAACCGCATTATAGACCACACAAATCCTGTTGTATTTTTGAAGTTAGTATCAGGTCCCGCTAGTAGACTCCTAGCGACTGAAACTTCTGGCCTATGCGCATTTTCAGCCAGCCGTAAGTTACCCAAGTCTTTGAACTTCTACTCAACAGGTTGCAGATTTGAGCCTCAGAATTCAAGACGTGAGATTGGCGTGGATGGATGATGAAGGTTAAGAAGTCAAAAGCGGGTCTTCAAGTCTCCTGTCTTTGCTACATAGGTACTATGTATATGCTACAGTATCGGAAGCAGGAAACTGTTTAAAATTTCAAGTTATCTGCACTGTAAACTATATAGTCTACTTAAGGCTCATTAACTCGAGCTCATTTGGTAAAAATTCTATATTTCTTTCCATTTTTTGGTGCTATTAACTGCAGCACGACCGTTACAAGGATAGCCCAAACTAGCAAAGACAGCATAATAGACTTTACGTTAACATTTGTCAATCAACCGAAGTCCATTTATGTCAAACAACCCAGATGTCATCTGTGATAAGCTAAAACGAACGTAAAATGCCCAAGTTTTTCCTCTATCTTGACTTTTTCCATGGACTAATGTAAGCCTAGTAAAATATTCATGAGAAAGGAATGTAACTGCATTTGGCCTTAGCAATGTCCTGACTGTAGTCAAAGATATTTCCAGGCGACCAGGATGGGCGTAATGTACTTTAAAAGAACTTAATTGAAAACGTTGGAGACTATTTTTAAGAATACCAGTAAGTAAGAAACAAATTATACGAGGGCCTTTTTGGGGGCCTGGACACATGTAGCTTCTTTGATATCCAAATTACACTCATTTGGCAGCACTGACGGACTTAGATGCAGCCTGATTTTTCTGATATGTGTCACATAACTTCCACAGGCCATCCAAAAATGCGTCTTTAGAAAAAGAAATCAGAAGACTGATAGAACGCAACTAGTCTTTGTGCTTTTTTCGTCTGCGTTTTCAAACTTGCTCAGGAATCGTTCTTCAGACTTTAAAACAGCAGCTGAACGAGTCAGTTAAAAACCAATGCCGCGGGTCTTGAGGTACCTGTGCAGGGCTCTGTGTTGGCGTCAAATCCATACGTTGATGTACTGGTTTCCTTTCTGAGGCCCAGGCTTTAGAACGTTCCCCAGTATTTTCTTATGAAAATGGTGCCTGCTTTTCAGGGCTGGTGGCTAGTTGACAGGAGTTACCGGGTGGAGCAGCTCCTCACTGATTTAAAAATGACTAGGGTAAATGTTAGCGGAATCGGATTTTAAATCAATGAAACTCTGAAGAGTGGTTGGCGAGCATCTTTGGGCTTTCGATAAATTGTCATCGGGCCCTTTATATGGGTAGGGGCTGAAAGGTAAACAGAGTTCAGTCTTTACTTACAATAGTAGAAGCGACCGCTATCTTGCTAAGGAAGCCGGTCTTGTGCGCGCAAAAGAACCTCCTGCAAGCTCCGAGCTTCGCATGGCCAACGGTCACATAACTGTCTGAAATTATTCGCACCTTCTCTCTCCCTTCCTCCTCCCCAGGCCGCGTAACCAGCCGCCTATTATCAGCCCCCGACCCCCTCCCCTATTTCCATGACTAATTTGCATGTAATGATGAATGTAATTGGCCGCATGTTGACCTTTTACGCCCCCTGCCATAGAAATGTAATAGCGCGACGAGAATTCATCGAAAGCCTACGCGGGCTTGTCAACTACTCTTCTGAATTATCTGATGAGAATTTTCGCGACCGCAAATGAAACTCTCGAAAGAGTCTGTCAGCGAAATGATGTGTGGGCTATGACTTTTGCAAGATTTATGTTACACATGGAGAACTATATGCAAAGTGTGTGGCCAATTCCTAGCTTCCAGTTTCCGTAAATAGGACAGAGTAAAACTCTGTGAAATATCACTGCTATCAGGAAAATTGAGAAGACAAACATGCTGAGTGCTTCTCTGTGTGTTTCAACATAACTACTGGTCGAGCACCGAAGCCAGTTGTTTATTTATTTTTGGAGTTTTCGATGTTGTTCAGACGTCAAATGCTAAAGATAAAAACCACGACAGGAGGTGCTGACCAATCGCTGACAGGTGTTGGACGTCGGAACGTGACTGAGCAGGTCGCCAGATCGATACATCGACTAACTGAGTTCTCATCTGAGGTCTGGGTTTCCATCAGTCCTCGGCAGACACAATGCGTTTGGCAGCCACGAAGTTGATCTCATTTCTAAGGTGTGGATAGCTACTTGCGATCATGCATCACCCTTTCGCACAGTGATTTCATGTCATAGAATTTCTCAAGGCACGGTCTTTCAAAACTCTCTTGGAGGGATGAGCACTCCGCATTATATTCCCAAATCTATCTGGTTGTCCACTATCCTCTAAAGTTTAAAGTTAGGAAGTTTTAATAACTTCTGAGGCGCAATGTCTTTGCTCTTAGCTAGGCTGAATTAAAAAAATATTACCATATAGCTAATTGTACATTTTACCGAACACTTGCAACGAAATGTCTGACCTTGCTAATAAATCCGTGCGCAAATATTTACACTTAGCGGCATGCTGTAGAATACAGGCGTAGTTTGTTTCTATGTACCAACATCTGTGCAAGTGGTTCAAGCCATTTAGGAAGTAGCTTCCCTTTATACTTATACATTTCGCGCTTTAAGGCATCCTATGCTCGCTGAACATTAAAGTGCGCTTTCATCTCATCAAATAGCCGATAATGAAGTAATTTCCGTCTGGAATCCAATAGCATAAAGCCAAAGTGTGAAAAGTGAGTGCGGGAGCTGACATAGTTACCTGTACAACAAATGCACACAAATAACTTTACACTATCCCATGATGCCTTACAATTACAAAGCTAGAAATTTACAGTCAATGACCTGGATAATGAAAACGAAAATGCTACAACGCAGATTCGAGTATTACTGAGATGTTGGCTTGAAATTCCTTCTATAACAGGATTCTGTCAAGGTATTTACGACAGCCCATGATGTTTGCATAGATTAGGAACACTAAGTAATGACTGTTCATTTAGAAAACACGTTCTTCATCGTTGTTGATGCCCTTGTTTTCTTAAACATTTTATGGAAACTTCGCACACAAAATTATTTTGTTGTAATCGCTGCGTAGAAAATTACGTCAGATTGGCTTTGTAGTTTAAAAGGGTTCTGATTATGAGATTTTAACACATTGTATCGTTTCCATTCAACTAGAATCAGATTTGTACGTTTATTAATGCCCATCATGACGTATATACTACAGTCACAGCTATTTCCAATTTTTCTTAACAAGATAAAGCAGCTTCTTAACATTAAGCAAAGAGTTTCGATTTCTTTAAACTGGACGCACGCTGCTCAAAAATAAGCAATCCTTCACACAAATGCAAGAGCAACTCAGGCTCAAAAATACTCCGAACCTCGAAAAAGGTTTTTTTAATTTAAACATTTTCATCCTCAGTGTATGAACTTTGAAGGGGACGTGCTTTGCAAAAAATGATTACCAGGACTAATCTTCGGTTCACATTAGCTAGAGAACATTGTTTGCGATTATATAGTCATCGAAAATCAATTAAAAATGCATATAACCTTTCGTTTTTGTAGGCAGACAAGAAGACTTGCATTTACTAGTCAGCTTCGAGGAGTGTCCGAAATCTCTTAGTATTAGGCTTTAGGGTACTTAGTATTTTATAGCAAACCCTTGATAGCGGGAACACTTTTACCTGGAGAAAAACTCTTATTATCGGATTCTGTCCCTTCAAAAAGGTCGAGCGTTTTTTAAAGACAGGCAATACGATGAGTCTTGCATAATTCAGCACCCCGGGTTAGCTGTAATCTACGGAAAACCAATCAATATAAAAAGACGCCCGCAGCGACCGCTTAATGGAACAAACATGGCGCCAATTTCAATCTTCAAAGCGCGTTTCAAATTTCAAGTTTTTTTCACGTTTGATCAAGACTGACGACAATCTGAGGAAAAAAATCGAAATTATGCCCTAATTTCCTACTCCATCCTTTAATTCTGATAGAATTTACCTATATATATACGATACGTGCAGAATAGGAGCATAAAAAGTCGAGCGAGGCCAGCATGCCCTTTCAGATGTCAGCTGTCAGCCTAACAAAACCCCAGGTTTTCAGTTAATGCGGATCTGACCTTCGTTCTCTGGTCATCGCACGATGACCTCCCTCTGTTGTGATCGGAACCATTCACTATTCATAGCTACTGGTTAATCGATAAGGGTATCGGTGTTGCTTCTCTCAGTTTTCCTTAATCTAGGCCTGGCCATGACTGGCTGACTATAGTTACTCAGCCAGAAGTGATTATCCCGGTCCCCCTTTTCTTTACCCCTTAAGCTTTAATATTTACGGAGAGGGTTGGCTTATCTGTATAGAAACTGCCTCAATAACTGTTTTCAAGCCAGGACTGGTTTGTGTGGATCTTTTGTTCACGCAACAAACTAAAACCGTCCTTACTTTACTCATGCGAGCTTTGTTGTTTTTATATTTTTTACTTCAGCTGACAGATGAGGAACGGGTATATCTCAACGCGGCGACCATTGGCGATATTGGAGTGATTCGCATGTCCCTGGAAGATGCCGACTCCAACAGCAATTTCAACGTCAACTGCGTCGACTACATGGGTAGAAATGCCCTCCACTTGGCTGTGGACTCGGAGAACGTGGAAGCCATTGAAATGCTGCTGGACAAGCTCTCCTTTGAGTGCATTGAGGAGGCCCTGCTACATGCCATCTCGAAAGGTCACGTCAAGATTGTCCGGCACATCATCGAGCATCCCAATTATATGGCCTGCGAGGAACGCCTAAAGCGTATCGACTCCCAGAATGCCTTCTTTCGCACCACGGAGAAGAGCCAGTTCTCGCCGGACATAACGCCGCTCATTCTGTCCGCGCACTACAACAATCACGAGATGGTACAGATGTTTCTCTCCCGCAACCACACCATTGAGAAACCGCATCCCATTTCCTGTCAGTGTGCTGACTGTCAGGCGAAACAGGACTACGACTCGCTGAAGCGATCCAGATCACGTCTGAACGCGTACCGCGCACTGGCCAGCCCCGCCTACATGGCGCTCAGTTCTCCGGATCCCATCATGGCCACTTTTGAGCTGCGACAAGAGATGATGCTGTTGGCGGAGATTGAAAAAGAATTCAAGGTGGGCCTTGTTACAACACTAAACTAAGCATAAGCATTAATTCGCCCGATTTAATCGCACTTTGAAGCGCATGCACGCATTTACAGTACGGCCTAGCCTTCGTGTAACATGTCGAAATAGGCGAAAGATTGATGCTCTCTAGCTAATCGGCATTGAGTAAGATTACAATACCGATTATCATGTAGTTTATGCTGAAGTCATTTCAGTCAGGATAGGATGCCGACTGTTTAACGAGCTTTTTTTCTGACCGATAACAAAACGTATCTAATGTAATAAGTAGCTTCTTAAGAAGTATGCCCTTTTATTAAAATATATTCTATGGAAAACACACACGAAAAAAAGCATTTATTGCACTTGTTTGGTAGCAAATTGCGCTTTCTTTAAATTGTACACTTAACGAAGGTTTATATTTCGGTTTTAAATATTTTTCTAAATCGCCGATTAATTTTTAAACCTGCCGAGTGCTACACTTGATTTCAAGGTTTTCAGACTGCGCGCTAAGTATATACTTTTTAAAGGAAAGTACGTTTACGTCTATCGTTTCAAGATGAAGCATAAATTTCTCATACAGTGTTGCAATAGCTGTGGATCATGCTGTATACATTAAAGGCAACATTGATAAATTGAGGGATACAACGTATAATGAATGAAAGCCTCAAAATCGTAAAAAGCTCATAATAAGAAACTTTTTTGAAACCAAAAGATACTATTTCTCTAGGAATACTCTTTAAAATAGGCGTAATTTCCTGCTAAGTGGGTACAAGAAATGTTTTTTCGTATATATTTTTCATAAAATATATTTGAATTTATAAAGGCAGTCAAAATTAATGGTTAAATGCATACTAATTAAGTAGCCAATTTTTTACAGTACATACGTTTTGTAAGCGGTCAGAAGGAAGCTCATTAAAAAGCCGGCATCCTATCGTGACTGAAGTGACTTCAGGATAGACTACAAGATAATTAATACTACAACCCTACTCAATGCTAATTACTGAGAGAATGTAAATCTTTGGCATACGTCGGCATGTTACACGAATTCTGTACCATACTTCATTGAACAAAAAACATTTTGCGACGGCTTCTTGACTGTGACCCGTATCTGCGTAAGAAAAAAGGTAAGGAAGGGCAGAGCGATTTGAATTCGCGCAAAGCATAAACGCATAAAAGTCACTTCGTTGTTTAGTTCACAGGGTATAATAATAAGTGCTAACTTTAAACCATTGTTAAGGGAATAGCAAATTGAGAACGTTGATACACCAGGGGGTGCTGAGTAAATCTAAAGCCTGAAGATTACAAGCGCAATTCTAGGTTGGCTTCGTGGTTCAAATATTTACGTCAGTTTGGTCTCTTTCATTGTACGTAGGCTGCTTCCACGATGTTCGTGCCCTAACAAGTTCCCGGAGGGCTGCTTTAGATGTTTCGCAACTGAAGAATGGGATATTTTATTTCCTTGTTTCAAAAGCAATTTCGGGAAAAATACTCCACCGCCAATCGCTTTGGCATCCATCCATTTTACTTACATTCGCAAATGCTGGAGACTTCATAAACGCACGCTGAATTGGCCTGCACAAACTAGGCGTCCTTTGTTCGTTGATTTCAAATGACGGGCGTAACACTAGTGACTTCGGCCACATTTTGTGCCTTTTTTATTGGTGAATCGAAACCGTCGCCTTTTGATAAATGATACGTTATCACCCATAAAGGAGAAAGATAATATGGGTAGCATTATAGAGCTTGCGTTCTTCGCGATTTGTTTTCGAAGACGGTGGCTTTATTTCTCAATGGTGCGTGCTGGGTAGCTACATGTGAGAAGGACTTCCTTGATTGAGGTAATTTATGCCGCTGTTGTATCAAGAGACCAAGTGTTACTCGTTCTTTTAAGGAGGATAAGCACCAGGTTTTCTTTCTATCCTACTGACACAGAGTGCACGTAACGTAAGTATCAAACTTTTCATGTATTCTTGTTGAAAACCGTTCACCTTATGAAATCACCTCCCTAAGCATTACGCCGTCTACAAAGGATAAGTTGTTGCACCGCTCCTTAGGAGTTTATACCTCGCATGCAAAATATTCAGAAAAATAAGTAGGCCTTAAGTGTCTTCAATCTTATCGAAAATCCACATATCTTCTGTGAAACGTTTTCAATTGCACCACCGAAAATGATTTGCATTGTTTCTATATGCCTTTGTAATATTTGAGCTAGAACCCAAAAATCACGGTTTGTTTTTCAGAAGATCTCTGTTTTTAATGATTTACCGCCTACGTACGTTCTGGGTCTGCCAGATACCAATGATGTTATCTAGGGCAAGGTGCGGAGTTCTGTTCTGCACACGCCTTATTTTGTTAGCGAGCAGGCATCGTAGATAATTCGCAAACTTCAACCATTGAAATGTTAATTTGCCTCCGGTTATGCCTGCGGTATGTTTTACTTGCAAGCTTCACTTTCCGGTAGCACAAGACTCCACTAACGGCGAAATCTAACGATGAAAATCAAAGAACTTAATGTCGAAATCATACATTAAGCGGAGTTAACAGATGATGAGCCGGACACCTCGTAGTTGTGTCAAGCAGCGGCAGAATTCCGGTGAAACAGCTGTCTGGGCTTTTTCGCTAATACCTGGACTGTGAACGTGTTAAGGTACAACATGAAGGAAACACCAGAATTGTAAAACTAGACTTTATGTGCGGCCTAACGCTGTTTGAAGCATTTGTTAAAGCCGCCTGTAAAGTTTTTAATAAAGATGAGAGAATATTTTGGATCTACGTTACCAGGAATGCGTGTTTTCTCAGAAGAGTCAGAACAGCAGCAGTATCTACTGCAAAATAAATACTTATTTAATATATTACATTTAGTATAAAAACGCGCGCAAATGACTTGTCAGACACAAGTTGTCTTAACGTGGCTCTAAACGGTAAGAAGAAGGAGTATAATCTTCGATGGATACCGCTTAGTAGTAAGTGGTATGCATTGCGGGTAGAAATATGGTGTAATTCTCTCTCCGATCGATAAGCCAATCTGTACCTTCTTGATCCGCATTAAGTACGCTCTATCTGGCTGATTCAATTACTCACATTCTCTCAGAAAGCGAAAAAACAGTAAGCTGGCTAAACTTAACCGGAATCACCATCTGAAATGACTCTTAACTGCCGGCTATTTGATGAAATAGGCGTGACATACGCTAGGTTCTCGAACCGAGACGAACTACGAAGGTTTTCGCTTAGTTTTAATTTATAAGAAAACATTGTTCAGAAATGCTAGATTATTTTCGTTTAAAAAAAAACATCTAGAGAGCGTTTACATGCTCATTTACACCTACATGGAACATAACTTGTTTTCTTACGTGTAGCATGGCGCATTTTGCGGTGGCGTCAACAATGTCTTAGGTAACAGAGCTTTTCCGTCCACTATATCTTCTGCTGTAAAAACCTCTTACATGTGTTCATGGTATGCTCTGTTTGCTACTTCGGACACGTGAGGCGAGAGCTTGATTGCTCACTGTCAACTGACAGTTTTAAAAGTCCACTTTTGTTCCGCTTCACGACTCAGGGCGACATTGCCTCCTAAAAACTATGAAAACGTTTTAAATTTTTAATTGGCAAAAGTGCACATGGAAGTGCAATGCGGATGCTGCTTCAGAAAAACAAAAATACACTTTTACTCTGTTTTAGGTTAAATAATGGTCATACTTGAAATGTTTTCGTAGATTAAATAGTGCGGACAAAGCGCAAATGTCCACACTGTTAAGACTGTTGGACTTTTATCGGTCGCTTTAGGTTCTAGGAAAACCACATATTGAAAGACTAGTTCTTGTAATGGTTTTTTCGACAGATTTTTCTGCGTTCAGATGTTTGCGAGCACCCCGCCGATGATGTTGAAGTTGCCATACAGGGCAATGCCTTTTGTGCTATGAGGACATCCCCCAGGGGATTAAAAGCTCGCTATGTCTGTTTGTGCAGCCTCTGTCGCAAGCTGGGTTCTCCTGCCTTTTTATCGCCCTACATCCAGCTGGATGTGTATCGGGTTACAACAGCCTGTTTGGGTTTAGATGCTGCGG